TATACAAACACGTTAACCCGATGACAAACAAAAAACCCTACTACACCTGAGAACAAGCAGATCAGAACGCCCGTGTCCTGCGTGCACTGGATTCCAGCATTGACTCTTACCACGCTCCCTCAGCCGTAATGGCATGTCCAACGGGAACAGTGGCGGCCAGCGGGGKGACCTCTCCCCCGGCGCCATCCGCCTGACCACCATAACAACCGCAACCCCACTGTCGTTTGCGACAGACAACGCCTTCGAACGGGCAACCTCCGCTAGGTACTGTTTACCAGCTTAGGCTTCCGGCTCTCTCTCTCTCTCTCTCTCTCTCTCTTGCTCAACCGCAACCCCACCGTCGTTTTAATCAAATAACGCTCTCTCTCTCTCTCTCTCTCTCTCTCTCTCTCTCTCTCTCTCTCTCTCTCTCTCTCTCTCTCTCTCTCTCTCTCTCAGGCGCGCGGTATACGAAACCAGATCCATTTTCTTTCTTTGTTTTTCTATATTTTATTGTTGTTGTTATTTTTCTTTTTCTCACAGCAGAAGTTTGAAAGTGTCATCCCGCAGAAGGTGGCGCCCGGCCTTGTAGCAATGACAGGGTCTTCCCTTGGCCGACCCCCTAAGGCCACGACACGTTAACGGGGAAGGCCTGCGGCCCATGTATGGGCCAATTACGGATGGTTTAATTCGATTTTTTTTTTATTATTATTATTTTTTAACGAGTGCTCCAGTCTATTCGTGGGGAGCAGCACGTGTTCGGAACCAGGCCCAGCGTCCCATATCGAATTGTACAGATCATTGAGAACATTTGAGATTATTTGAGATCATTTGAGATACCAAGGCCATTACCCGGCTTCAGCTGAGAACAATCCGTGAACAAGATGTGATTCAGAAACATGGGGAGGATCATGAGTATCTGAATGACCTATTAGGGAACTACTCATGCAATAGCCTACCACTGAGGTCCTACGAATGCTCACAACCCTGAGGATCCCTAGCAAACCCTTCTAAGACTTTCCAACACCGTCTTACTCTCTATTGAGCTCTTCCAGGTCTCACGCCCCCACCCTGCTAGGTTATAGGGCAACACAACTCGCCCCAGCTCCGACTAGCATCATCCCAGCAGCAACCCTTGGTTGTCCCTTGGGATGCCCAACCCAAAGCATCCCCAAATCTCTCTACCAGGCCTCACACTTCTGGATCAGCAGGTTACAGGGCAACACCCCAGCACTGACCAGCGTCGTTCTGACATCGAACAGTCGCAGATCACTGAGTATAACAACATCGAAACCGCCTAAGATGGATTGCTAAGAGAAGTCCTAAGACATTCATAAGAACAACTGACTTTTTTTTTTTTAACATTCGTACTCTACCAAGTCAAAAGAATATGTGTGTCAAAAAGCCTCCCAACCACAAAACAGATAGGTGAAACCTATTCAATCCACCTACGACCACCACCAGCATGGCTGTTTTCAGCACGAACCGAGGCTCTTCCAGACCTCATGCTCCCATCAGGTTAGGTTACAGAGTTGCACCACCTTGCTCCAGCACCGGCCAGCATTGCTCCAGTTAAGACCCCCGATGACCATTGGGACTGCCCCCGCAAACAGCCCCCCAGAGCTCTCTACCAGGCCTCATGCCCCCACTAAGCTAAGTCACAGAGTTGCGCCACTTGGCTCCGGCTCCGGCCAGAGTTGCTCCAGCATCGGTCTTCGAGGACCACCGAATTTTCGACCACCCCTCGCAGGATCACAGATGGCTTGCCAGATAGCACATATTCCTACAACCTCCTCGAGAGGCAACCAAATGGAAAGCAATAGTAAAGTGGATGATAGTTTTCTCCGAGAGCCTGAGAGATCGCCCCTCCCTTCCCCTACCCCTCCCCCCTTAGCCCTACACTCCTTCCATCGAGGGGAGTCACCCACTCTCCCTCGAACCCAATATAGGACCAACCGTCTACCCCTTTTTCCCCAGGAGCACGAAGTTCCCACCTGAAGCATGCCCCCCCGCCCCTTGCCCATTTCCGCCTCCGCAGGGACTGATGTTGACCCACGCACCAGGCCCTGCCCCAGAATAGGGCAACCCCCTACTCCGCCCCTACCCTCTTTGAGACATTCACTCCCCACCTTGTGATGCCCCTGCAAGATAGAGCTCCCCCCCCCTCTTCCTACCATTCATCCCTCCGGGAACGATCCGATCCAGCCGACTACAGTTATTGATGACACACTTACCCAAATATTGTTCGCTATTTAGAAAAATTACGCAAGAACCCCCGAAAACACTCTACATCTTTAAGACCACGTTTCTGTGGATTATTTCCCCCCCTCCCCTTGAAAGGAAGAATCGAAAATTCCTGAAACTTACGTTGGAGAAAAGGTAGATAAAATTTTATGGACTTTGCTGATGACGATGGACAGTACCCTGACGATGATGATGATGAGGATGATGGTGACGACCAACTCACCCGCTGATGCGAAAGGCAAACAATGCCTTGAAGAGCAACATCTAATGATCACAAACTGATGATGATGATGATAATAATGAGGATGAGGACAAAATGATGATGTTGATCATACTAAAGAGCAGCACCAACATCCCTTATGATTACAAACTGATGATGATGATGATGACGATGATAATGATGCTGATGATGGTGATGTCGGTAATGATGATGATAATGATGATAATAATGGTAATGATGACGCACAACGCCCTGTGATGACTACAGGATGATGATGGTGCTGATGACGAGCACCTTGGATGATCCTTGGATGATAACCTAATGATGAGGATGATGATGATGATGTGATGATGATGATGTGATGATGATGATGTGATGATGATGATGATGATAATGCTGATGATAATAGGGATGAGCATGCCCTATGATGACGTCAAGCTTTGCCAACCGCGCCGTATAGACGCACACCTTGATGATGATAAGAGCAGTACCCTGAAGATGATGATGGTGATGACGAGCAGCACCCTGATGATGATAACAAACCATTACCGTGATGATGATGTCGAACCACGCTCTGTTGATAATGATGGTGACGAGCAGCTCCCTAATGATGATGACGCCGATGATGGTGCTGATGGTAACCAGCGAGAGTGCCGCAGATGACAGAGATGTATACAAAAAACCGAACTCCACGCAATCAATTTCGCCTCCAATCCTCATCCTGCTCCACGTAAGAACGCGCTCCTGCTTTCTATCCGCGTCATACTGACCACCTACCACAACACTACGTAGACCAAGGAGCAAAAGCCATAAGAAGGTTGAACTTCTCAAGGAGACCCACCTCCTCTCAAAGGCAAGTTCCCCTTCACCCAATGTGCTAACCTGTAACACCACTGGATGAAGCACAAAGCAGGAGATGGCACCAAAGTGCTTTCAAAAGGCAAGCAACCCCAAGACACGCTCCATCCTCCTGCCCTCCCGCTGTCCGATCTCTACTTCATCACTACCCCAACGCCAATATCTTCCAATACTCTCCCTGAAGGCGCCGTCACGTCGAGACTGACCATATCATACCCAACCGCCACTTCGCGCTCACGTGTTTCCAACCAGTAGGGCGCCACAGGACTGCCCATATGAGAGTGTCTACCCGATGGGGCTTAGCGTTCTCGGTAGTGTTGCACCCCCAATGCGTGTGTACATGACTGTTGACCATTTGAGACATATAGGCTGGGTGATTTAATTCGATTGAAAATGAGAAATGCATTTATAAATGGCACGGATATAGGGGTTCGTTAGACACTCCTCGACGCGTAAAATCTACAACGACGTGATCGTCCCACCTATGCTCGGGGAATAAATTGGAAAAAAAATATGGAAATATTTCGTTGAGGAATCCTTGCAGCGTCCTTGTGGCCCAGCCATTTCGTGCCTTAGTGCAAGGGACCTCGCGAGGTTCCCCAAAGCTCAAGGATCTAGGATAATCAGAGCGGCGAAGACACGCGTCATCGGGAACTTTCTTTTTTCGGTTGGTCCATTGATGTTCCGCCAGCGGCTGCACGGGTCGCCAACTGTCACTGCTAGAGGACGATCGTCATAGGGGTTCGTCTTCGATTGGGGTTGTCGTCGTGGGGCGTCCTGCCAGCTTCGTATGGGTTTAACAGTCAGAAAAATTGAATATTTTTCCCGATCCCTCTCCCGCATCCCCACTCATGTCTGAAAGGTGTGTCGTATGTTATCCTCTACTGTTTGCTCCCTTCATCGTCGCCGTTTGGTGGACCTCCACTGTCGTCGTGGAGTTACGGTGTCGAGCGCATCGACTTACGCCTTTTTGCAAAGTGCGGGAGCCCTCCCGGCCATGTTATGTAGGAGTTAAACCAAAACAAAACAGAGACAACTTGGGGACGACGTAAAATAACTCCCGCAAACCGTCAAGACAGTCTCGGTTGCATCGTCCCTTCGCCGCTCTAGCCGGTCAACAGAAAAAATTCCCAGAATTAAATAATCATTCTACATGAAAATTACATTCTAAATTTTAAATATTCATTCCATCTTAAAAGAATGTCATTTCAATTTTAAAATTTTCAATCTTACTTGGGTTGTCGAGCCCCGGCCCTAGGGCCCCGGCGGGGGTGCGGGGGTCCAGGGGTGGGCACCCCTGACTCCGGCTCCGGATCCCCCCTCCCCTAAAAAACATTTTAAAAAAATCAAAAAAAAAATCAAAAAAAAAATCAAAAAAATAAAAAAATACAGGGGGCTGCGCAACGGCAGCCTGCACCCCCTGGGCCAAGTCGGGGCGGGGCTGAGCGGGG